AACCAGCAAAAAATAAACAATTATAAATTAATTTGTTCACTGTGAAAGTTTTTCGATGTTAGTCAACTCTCTTTAGGACTGAATACGAACGCTCTCCGGATGCATTGCTGACAGGCAATGTAAGAAATATTTTTAACCAGTGTTTTTACGTTAGGAAATGTTGATCTTTTAAACCGTTATTAATAAGTATATACATACTAAAAGGATCAGAAATATTTTGTTCTTTAGCATAATTTAAAAAATGTCTCATTTCATCTTTGAGATAATCTGTATTAAAATCATTTTTGCAAATTTTTTTTTATGTATCTATACAAATATTGCGATCTTTTTTCGCAAGAACGCTATTATAAAATATCTATTCTAAAATTTCGCCATAATTTTGAACCCTTCTATCCAATTCACTGATTAACCTATCACCAATAACATAAACCGTTTGTGAAATGAATTTTTGGCGATCCTCCTGGTTTACTTAGTTTGATAATGACTCATCAGTTTGCAGTTTTTGCGTTTTTACACGGTTTTTCTCATCACTAAAAATACATTCGTTAGTAATCGTGTTAGGACTATTTTCATTTTCGGGGAAATTCCCTGGAATATCTGTAACAAACTGTTTCAAAGAGTTTAATAGATTTTCACCATTTAATAAATTTGTTTTGGGATCTTATAGTGCTTTACTTGTACAATTTATCCTTACATAAAAAACAAATCTATACTCAAAATTCAAATACATATTTATTCGTTTTATTTTTTTTTTATTTAAATTTTAGCACCATTTAAAAGTACTCTAATTCTATTTTAATTTATGTAAGGCATTGTCTAGACCTAAGGTTAATAATTTTGGAAGATTTTTAAATTTAAATGACACAGAAGATAATTCACAAAATACTTAATTGTAAAATTAAATCAATAATGATTTCAAATACTAATTATAGGGAAATTTGTTCTTGAGTATCATAAAAACAAATATTTTAATATTCAGCATGTAATGACGCAAATTACATTTTACAAATAAACAAAACCCTTCAAATTTCTCGATATTTGCAACAATAAGTGTGCGAGTGCGTGATCTATTTTTGTAGACTAAACAAAGTCAAATTTGCTCAAAACATTGTTATTAATTATTAAATAATTAATTAAATAGTAGCATTGACGTAAGTCGTTTATCTTAAAAAATATACTGGTTTGTATCTAATATTATTTAAGAAAGTAAACACATAAGTACTTATGTTATTAGAACCACTCATCCCCTTCTATTTTTTAATATTTTAATTACCTAATTGAAAGTAGGTATTTAACACGTATGCTTTTTCCAATTGTTTAAACAAAATATGCGAATCAACCAACTTTTTATGAAATAAAATTGTTATTTTAATAGAAATGTAAATTTTTAAAAATAATTACTGACTAAAAAATTAACGAAATTTTTTATATCAGAACTAAAATTGAAATAATGCAGCACTAAAGTTTTTTTGTCTGAAAAATAATTACATTGCAACTTCATATTTTTTTAACACAAATTGTATTGGATCATCAGTTGCAGTGTCTACAAATGTGCAGTCAAATTTGTACTATACATGAACACGCTGAATAAATGTCATGAAATCTCGAACCTTACTTCAACAGTTACCACAATAAATTCCGTAACTGAAATAAATAGTGATGCAGAAAAATCCGACAAACGATTGGAAAACAGTTACCTATTCTAAAAAACGACCAAATAAACGACAAATTGTTGAAAATAATAATAACTTTTCCATTAAAGGCGTTCCAATATTAACAGCTTTACATGAGAAGCAGACTTTCTAGATGCATTTTGTCCATTTTTTTGCAATTTTGGCAAAAAACGAAAATCTTCTACGCGTTTGGCAATAAATTAACAAAAAAATTGATATTATGCCTACAAGCGAAAAATCCAGTATTGATTATATTCTGAAAAACTTAAAAAAACTGTTGGACAAAATGCATTTTGATTGTCACCCTGGGACAAAATGCATTTTAATTGTCTACACAAAGCGTGATAGACGTGATATTTGTTTTTCTTTTTCTACTACCACAGTACGTATCACCACAACTATATGATCCCCTGTCACAGATACATCCATTATGTTGGATTGTTTCGTAAAAAAAACAGAGAAATGTAAGTACACAAAACAACCACTTCAGACAGCAACAAGTGCAATAACAATTAGTCCACGGCGTAAGGACAAACTTTTGTTAGTTTGTCTATGGCCAAAGGACATACAGCACACAGAAAGTCCAAGGTATTTTTATTATTTAATTTTCCTAGGAGAAAATGCATTTAAAACGTCTTTTGTGGCCTTATATTGTAGCTCTATGTATGTAGTTTAAGATGCCACCTTCGGCTGAAAATTTGAAAAAATTGACAAAATGCATCTAGAAAGTCTGCTCCTCACATGTATGCACAGTTGATAAAATTACAACGACCGAAGAACTGAAAAAAATTATAGAACCTCATTTTCCTTAAGTAATTTGTGAAAATCTCGATGTCAAATTTCCAAATAAATACGCATCCCTCAAAATTAGAATTTTGGAAGATATCTTTTAAACTATACGCGAATTGATTCTAACAATTCTTTTTTAAAAAAGATTTCAAATACTTCTTTATATTCTTATATAAATACCACTTTTCGACTAGACTCGAACTTATTGCTTTAGTATAAAAGCCAATTTGAGTTCCAATATGCTTCACAATCAGACGAAGATTTATTGAGGAATTAGTAGATATTTCGTTCTCGTTTTATGTACTCTTGGCTAGTTTACCAACGTATTTTACATCAATTTAGAAACATCTTTGCTTGAAAAATTATTTTGTACTAGTAGAATTATTTTATTTGTCAAGTAGGTGAGTGTCAATCAAAACAAATACTCCTACCTTAGATAAACATGGACTTTATAATTTTGTAGATACGTAAAGTTTTTTAATTGCAAAACCAGCAGCATCCATTTTAAAAGATATAAAAATTTTAGCAAAAATATCAATATTACCAAATGTTAGTCGTGTTACATACCTTATAAATATAGTACGAGGGTATTACAAAGTGAGACGTTTCCAAATACTTTAAACAAAAATTTTAAATAAAGTAGCTGATAGAAATAAATTCTCAAGGGGTGAAGAGTTAATAAGTACAAAATATGGGAAAAAACAAACAACTATCTACGTTAACGATTTAATGATGATGTGGACTGGTGGTACATAGCGTACATAGCGAATGTCTTGTACCACGGATGGTACATGGTATAAGTAGTACATGGCTTCTAATTCCGTGTGTTTCTGAATGAAAGCTTTGATAATTAGGAGACGGCTATATTAGTGTTTTCTAGACGATGTCGAATGTCCGAGAATTCCATCTCTATGACTCAACGACAACATACCGCTTTTTATCATAAAAAATCGATTTATTGATACCACCGTATAGAAAAAAATGCTTATTTTTTGTTCTAATGCTCAATTAGGCCTTTTTGAGAAGTATTTTTTATAATTTAAAAAAAATCATTTATATTGGCCCTTATGGTCGAAAAAAAATTTTAACATCAATATCTCGGTTTCAACCGTCTACAAATTTGTATAAAAAATGTTCTTTTAGAAATATACTTCTCATTTGACATAAAAAGGAAGACCTAAAAAAACTATTCTTCATAAAAGTTTCGCCTGTGTATTGACAAGGTTACAGTGCTTCCTCCATATTTTTTTTTAAATTAACAAGAATATACCAATAAACAATTAGTGATGTCATTGTTTTAGTAGAAAGCAAACAATGAAGGCACAGCATCTCGACTCTCTATGCATCTCTCTCAGTGTTGAAATCTATGCAATCAGTTTGACTCTCTTATATTATTTTAAACAGAAATTATTGATTTATCCGCTATGAATAATAAGGTGTATTTTAGATTTTTTCTATTTTTGGAGAAAAATGAAAAATAAGAAAATATAAACTATTTATTGAAGGTATAAATACAGTTTATATAAGTATCGACTATAAGCAGTAAATCTGTTGCTTTGCAAAATACAATAAATTCCCAATATAAATAAATAATAATATTAATAATAATAATTGGAAGTATATAAAGCATAAATTATTAATATTAAAATTTATGAGTACTAATCAGAATCAGATTCACCACACTAATCAACATTTTCCAAAACATTAGCGGCTGTGGTCAAACTATTTCTGCAGTTTTTTTTATGCCATACAGGTGCAGGAACCGATACAGCAAATATTTTTTGTCTGCATTTGCAAATTTTGCTTTTACAGTGTAGAACAGAATATTGTACATTTATGAAAATTATCGGTGTGTAGTATCTTTTTTGCATTAGAATGATGTAAGTTGTGTTACATCTGGTGGCAGGTCGGGCAGACTCTTAAAAGTGGGTATCAGACTTCCATTTTGATCTACTTTCCATCCATACTCTTTAACATTAGAAAGCTGCATCTGGCTTCAAAGAGCTTAGCCAAATATTTAGCTGGTAAAAATATCTTAAACAATGTAGTCTTAGGGCGTCTTCAGTCGATGGAAATTTTGCGATGGTTTTTAAAGAGGCCCCAAAATGGTAATGGAAGTAACATTGGCAGTTTTTGAATACATTTTTTTGAAAATTTTTTCAAGATTAGAGAATTTGTTTTCAAAGTACTGATCAGTGCCAAATTCATCCAAAAAGTAATGGTGTTCAATGTAAGTTTTCCAACAGGTTATTTTTCAATGCCAGACAATTTACTGGTTGTATGACAACCGGCCAGAGAATCAAAAGCAGGCACATTTTTTAGAAGTTTTTCGTCCAAATTTAAATAATATACTGCTAGAAATCGTTTTGAGTCTCCTGGCCCTGTTCTGTACCATATATCTTTAGTCAAAAACTTCTTTGAATAAATTTATAAGACTAGAACATATGTATCGCTGCACTGAAAAATTAAAGGGTAAGGGCCATTTTTCTCAATTGTGAAAAAATAAATTAAAAATTCAATAAATATATATGCATTTATTTATATTTGTTTACAACTAATTCCTGAAGGTTTGTAATTTTTACACGTACTTCCTTTCTTTGCACCAGAAACCGAGACTCCAGACCAATTGAAGTTGGAACATCCGCTAGATCCACACATTACATAAACTGCTACTGAGTTAGATCCGCTCATAGTTCCAGTTACCTTACTTATTTTCAATCCTTTAATTGGAATATTATTAGTTGGATTTCCAGTTGATTTACCTCCTTTATAATCTTGTTGTACATTTATTCCGTAGTTGGTGATTCCAGATAAGTGTATGTTACTGTAAGTAATATCATTAACAGATCCGTGACCAGCATCTGAATGCGTTTTAACATGGATACCATTACGAGAATTTGTAACAGTACAATCACTAAAAGTTACATTGGACACCACGTTTTTAGAAGCATCAGTTTTACTCATTCCAATAGACAAGCTTAAGCCGTGTCCACCGGAACATTGCAAGTTTGAAAAGTGTAAGTTTTTACCAGAATTAACAGCAACACAATCATCTTGGTTCTTTACAACAGAGTTTTTAATTGTTACTGTATCTGAACTCGAAATGTCAAATCCATCGGTATTGTGTCCTAATTTATTCCTGTCACCAGCGGAAACATCTACATTCCATCCTGATAAAGTGAGTTGGTTGGAGTTTTGGATAGATACACATTGATGAGGACAATTCAATAAGTGAATATTGTTGATATATGATCCTCCAGTTGCTTTAATTCTAAAGAATTTTGGTTTTCCTGGATTTGCGTCACCTTTGCCATCCCAGTAATGAGGTCCTTGACCATCTAATTTTGAACCAGAAGCGCCATTCACAGTAATCCTATTTCCAGTAATAAATATTAGTGGCCCTGCCCATTTTACACCATAACCAAAAGATGTAGTACCTTGGAAAGTTAAAGTAGACCCAGATTTCAGGTCGAGTTGCAAAGTTTTTCCAGGTGGCACTGCAAGTCCGTTGACAATTATGTTTGTACAACTTTTTACTACGTTACTAACTTGTGAGTAAGAAGTAATTGTACAACCACCTTCTACCCTTGTATCATTGTACAAAGGAGATGCAGTTGTAGCTACTATCGTAGTTATAACTAGAAATACGGCAAAACACAACATTTTTATTGAATAGAAACTAAGTCAACTGTGATATATTTTAAATTTTGCTGAATTATTTATATAGCAAACTGAAAGCCCACTTACAATTATAACAGGTACTTATAACATTTAATTTATTTAATCTTCAGAACTAACTCAAGTTTATGCTAATCTGAAGATTTTTTATCGAGAGGTGTACCATTTTTTCTGTTGAATTTTTAGTTTGTTTTTTTTTATGATGTTCCACTCTATACCTATTTTTCTGCTGCTGCTATTCCAACCCGAGTTTTTTTTTATCTGTAAATCAAATGGCATCATCAATCATCTTTAAGTCACCCCGGAGCGCCACGGCAAATAATAATAATAATAATAATAATAATAACCGTCGGCTACAGGCGTTGACGCTTACTCGTTAAGGGATGAATTAGGGGAGGGTGTTTTTTTATTTTCTCCTTCTCAGGGTTGTTGATAATTTGGAATTTCTACGAAATCAGTCAATTTATCAGGATGAATTTTTTTTGTAAGTTGGATGATTTTTACACTTCGTCAGATAAATTCAGAGTTTTTCTTACAATACGACACGGTTCTAGTATAATTAACTTTTGCATTGTTGTGGAGATATTTTTGTCAATTATGTTTATTTGTATTGTATTATGTAGCTGAAATTACTATGGGAATTATGGTAATACATTGTGTATACTTTTATATTCTTTTACCAGTTCGATGTATTTATTTTTTTTTTCTCCTTTTTCCAGATTATGATCGTTCGGATGCGTGATGTCAATGAAGAAGCATACTGTCTACGTTTTTCTTACAAAGACAGTGTCAGGTCTATTGCTGGATACTGGTTTGTCGGTCTGTATAGGCGTATCCCAGTACAGAAGATACGTATCACTTTCTAGGACCGGGAACGGAACATACTTAAAATATTGTTCAGCTTTTTCTCGAAAATTGCGCATAATTACCAGATGCTGATATACGACGTTGGCCCCTAAGTTATGGCGCTTAAGGTATTCAGTAGGCGCTAACACCGTGCATCCCGATACTATATGCTTAATCGTTTCTGAGTGGCGACGACACATTCTACATAAGTCGTTATTGAGTCGAACTCCGTAGATAATTTCAATATGATTTCTTGTCGCGATAACGTTGTCTTGAATCGCTACTAATAAATCCCTCAGTTTTCCCAAACTAATTTTCCTTCTTCAACCGTTCAGTTGAGGATTCAATTTTTGATTGAAGAAGTTGATTGGGATATTTTCCATGAAGAAACTTCGACAGCCATTCATTTTTTAGTATGCTGAGATCAGGAAGTGCTGAAATTTATTCTTTGAGTTTAACTGGGGAGTAGTTATCCAGTTGAGTTACGACTCGATGAAATGTAGAAGTTAAGGATTTATCTCGAAACTATTTTTTTTTGTTCATTTATTTGCTTTTGATAAAGTAACTTTATATCTAACAGTCGCCGGCCTCCTATTTTTCGGAGAATATATAGCTTTTCTGTACAAGCTTTTGGATGGTGAATTAAGCATTTTGTCATTTACACACGAGTCGATCGTGTTTGACGCTAAAAAATATGACATTGTATTAGTTGCCCATGCATTAATTGCTCTAATTTTGTTTTTCGCTATTAATTCAATACGTAGTATTTGTTTCGTTCTTTTCTCAAGTGTTTGTGTAAAATGTTTTTTGCATGGTCTCTTTCTTATTAATTACAAGTTGTTGTACCCCAGGTATTTATAACTCTCATTATTCAGGTATTTTATATTCTCGATTTCGATGTTCTCGTACTCTCTAGGCTTTTTACGTTGTACTACTAATTTTGCTCTTTTATTAAGGCCGAATTTCATTTTGTTGTCACTGCTTAACTTTCTGGGTAACTCAATTAGCCTATATAGATCTTTTTAAGATGAAGCGTATAATTTTAAATAATCTACATAAAACAAGCGTGCTATTATGTGAGTTATTTCTCCCATTCTTAAATTAAATCTTATATTGACTTTTTGAATGATTTTTACGAAGGATTAAGGCTTAAGATGATCCACTAAGGACTAAAAGAGTCACCTTGAAATTTACCGCTTTGAATCTGTATTTTATCTGCTGCTATTATTTCGTTGTTAAGTGAGAGATTAGGTGTTCTGGGCCAATCCTAACACTACCTGCTTACAACCGATAAAGATAAAAAAAAGGGAGATTAAGAGTGGTTCGCCGGGAATTCATACATTCACTTAGAAATCTAACAATATCTTTGTCTATTTTATAAAATTTCAGTACTTCTAGTAGCCAACTGTGTAATACAGTGTTAAACGCCTTCTGATAGTTAACCTATGCTACTGCGATGTTACGCGATCTATGTTAGGCATCTCCTGAGTCGATGAGAAGTTGATCTTTGCACCCCTGTGTTTTTTTCTGTATACTTTTTGTTCCTCTGTTAATATGTGTTTTTCTAGTAGATGACTGTCAATTTCTTCCGCAAATATAGAAATGATTATTTTATAAAGGGTGGGAAGACAAGTGATGAGACGATAGTTTTTTGAGTCTTTTGTTTCGTCCAACTTTGGAAGCATGTACGTCACTTATTTTGTCAAATAATCAGGCATTGCTTTCTTGTTGGTGATGATACGGTTTATATGCGCAGCAAGAGGTCTCCACACATTGAGGTTTTTTGACCGGTAGTTGTGAAGTGAATCAATTCCCGCACCTTCCAATTTTAAGTTTTCGCAACTGCTTTCTTCACTTCCTCCTCTGTAACTCGGATAGGATTCATTTTTTGTAGTGCTTGGCAGTCTTCATCTAGTTTCCAGATGTTTTCTAATTTATGTGTACATGTACATCTACAAGCCGCCGATGACGATTTCGACTTTTAATAATACAAAAGTCTAGTATCTCATTAAATAAGAAATCGTTACGAAGTATCTAATCGTGCAGCTACCGCTGTAGCAACCATTATTTTAGAAGATACTGGGTTGGTAACAGAAACAAATACTTTCAAAGTAGTTGATTAGAATGAATTAATAGAAAGGAGTCGAAATATGAGTAATTTACAGGATAAAACCAAGTAAGATTTTATTAACTTAAGTTATAACTAGTTTTATATAAAAATTGTATTCATATCAATAACCAGCAAAAAATTAACAATTGTAAATTAATTTGTTTACTGTAAAAGTTTTTCGATGTTAGTCAACTTTCTTTAGGACTGAAAACGAACGCTCTCCGGATGCATTGTTGACAGGCAATGTAAGAAATATTTTTAACCAGTGTTTTTACGTTAGAAAATGTTGTTATAAGTATATACATACTAAAATGATCAGAAATATTTTATTCTTTAGCATAATTTAAAAAATGTCTCATTTCATCTTGGAGATAATCTGTATTAAAATCATTTTTCAATTTTTTTTTAATTTATTTATACAAATATTGCGATCTTTTTTCGCAAGAGCGCTATTATAAAATATCTTAAAGTTTTCTAAAATTTTGCTATAATTGTGAACCCTTCTATCCAATTCACTGATTAACCTATCACCAATAACATAAACCGTTTGTGAAATGAATTTTTGGCGATCCTTCTGGTTTACTTAATTTGATAATGACTCATCAGTTTGCAGTTTTTGCGTTTTTACACGGTTTTTCTCATCACTAAAAAAACATTCGTTAGTAATCGTGTTAGGACTATTTTCATTTTCGGGGAAACTCCCTCGAATATCTGTAACAAACTTTTTTAAAGAGTTTAGTAGATTTTCACCATTTAATAAATTTGTTTTGGGATCTTATAGTGCTTTACTTGTACAATTTAACCATACATAAAAAACAAATCTATACTCAAAATTCAAATACATAGTTATTCGTTTTATTTTTTTTTTTATTTAAATTTTAGCTCCATTTAAAAGTACTCTAATTCTATTTTAATTTATGTAAGGCATTGTCTAGACCTAAGGTTAATAATTTTGGAAGATTTTTAAATTTAAATGACACAAAATACTTAATTGTAAAATTAAATCAATAATGATTTCAAATACTAATTATAGGGAAATTTGTTCTTGAGTATCATAAAAACATATATTTTAATATTCAGCATATAATGACGCAAATTACATTTTACAAATAAACAAAACCCTTCAAATTTCTCGATATTTGCAACAATAAGTGTGCGAGTGCGTAATCTATTTTTGTAGACTAAACAAAGTCAAATTTGCTCAAAACATTGTTATTAATTATTAAATAATTAATTAAATAGTAGCATTGACGTAAGTCGTTTATCTTAAAAAATATACTGGTTTGTATCTAATATTATTTAAGAAAGTAAACAAATAAGTACTTATGTTATTATTAGAACCACTCATCCCCTTCTATTTTTTAATATTTTAATTACCTAATTGAAAGTAGGTATTTAACACGTATGGTTTTTCTAATTATTTAAATAAAATATGCGAATCAACCAACTTTTAATGAAATAAAATTGTTATTTTAATAGAAATGTAAATTTTTAAAAATACATACTGACTAAAAAATTAACGAAATTTTTTATATCAGAACTAAAATTGAAATAATGCAGCACTAAAGTTTTTTTGTCTGAAAAATAATTACATTGCAACTTCATATTTTTTTAACACAAATTGTATTGGATCATCAGTTGTTAGTTTGTCTATCGCCAATGGACATAAAGCACACAGAAAGTGCAAGGTATTTTTATTATTTAATTTTCCTAGGAGAAAATGCATTTAGAACGTCTTTTGTGGCCTAATATTGTAGCTTTATGTATGTAGTTTTTGATGCCACCTTCGGCTGAAAATTTGAAAAAATTGATAAAATGCATCTAGAAAGTCTGCTCCTCACATGTATGCAGAGTTGATAAAAATACAACGACCGAAGAACTGACAAAAATTATAGAACCTCAATTTCCTAAAGTAATTTGTGAAAATCTCGATGTCAAATTTCCAAATAAATACGCATCCCTCAAATTTAGAATTTTGGAAGATATCTTTTAAGCTATACGCGAATTGATTCTAACAATCCTTTTTTAA